AACCAACTTTAAAAACACTTCATCAGGCAATCAGAAAATCAAATATTAATTGTTTTTAGAGGGGAAAAGGAAAGAAAGGACAGGGAAAAAAGAATAGGAAAATGGAAGCGAAATTCTGTAAATAAGGAGTGGAAAAGGGGTTAAAGGGAAGAGAGAGGAATGGGAAAAAAAGAAGGAGAAGGATATATCACAGGTGCTAATTCCATATGATGAATATTATCATTATGCATATCTAAAATGTACCAATAAAATTTTAAGAGCGCAAAAATAAAAAGTTTGAGCAGAAATAGATTTTTCAAACCTTGCATGTAAAAATAAAAAGAAGTTTTTAGTAAATTGTGATAACAGCACTGTAGCTACATAAAACTTATTTTTTCTGTTAGAGTTACCCATTCGCACTGAGTAAAATAATATAATATCTAGGATTTGAATTTAAAAGATTCCAACAAATCCTGGGGTCGAAAGGATAAATGAAGTAAGATTGGGGAAAAAACTGAAAATTGTTGTAGTTTAGAAAAGTGGGTTCATTCTATAATCTTTGTACTTTTGCATACATTTAAATTTTCTATAATAAAATGATTGTTTAAAGATGAAGCAGTCAAACTTTGTTTCCAGAAAAATAAAGTAGTTGTACTTTTGTCTAAGCCTCCTGATTAAGTATAGTTATAAACTCTGGACATTTTACATTAACACAAACATAAGAAGGTACCGAAAGGCAGGCAGAACAAGGTCATAGGCCTCAGAATCCAAGGAATGACACAGCAGTGAGTAACCTGAGACTTGCTTCCCCTTGTATATCCTAATCTGTGTTGTGGAGAAGCTAGTAGCCTGCAATGATCAATAAGGATAGAATACACACACACACACCCCAAGGAAATTCTCTCTCTAGGCAAAGGACCAGAAAAGGGGCAATCTCTCAAGAAAGATAAATTTTAGATAATAATCACTATACTCCAATAAAACACCACAGGGGGAAAAAAAATTGCGGCACCATTCATGCCAACAAAGGCCAACTGATAAATTTACTTCAACCTTGGTCAGACTGTACCAAGGAGCCCAAACTGGCCATCATGGTAGTACCAGGGAAGGGCAAATTGAGGGCCAGAACTTTCATTGTCTCTGGGCAGTAAAAAGCTCTCTGTGACACAAAGTCAGTGGAGACTACATGCAAAACTTGGACTTTCTTGGCCACCTGAAGATAAGGTGTGTGTGGGGAGTCCCCTCTTCTTCTTCTCAGTAGGGTGGTACAGTGGAAACCTAGTGGAGAATCATCATTTTCACAACCACCCCTCACTTATAAGCACATTTCTCCCATCACCTCATAATGTCAGTAGAGGTCATGTGAAATCATAACAAGGCATCTCCACCCCACTCAGTCAGGGTAGTGTCAGCAGAGATATGGCAGGGAACTTGAACTCCTACCTTGAATAAGCAGTAATGTTGAGGCCCCCCCAGAGGATAAATGGAGAACCTAGACTTCCATTCCACCTGGCATTAACAAAATGGCGCTCTCCTTCCCTTGTTTATAATTTATAATTCCCTTATTTATAATTTATAAATAAAACAGACTAGTGTCAGAAGACTGATGAACTAGAAAACCAACAGTCTTATAACTCTCAAAATGTCCAGGTTTCAGTTGAAAATCACCCATAACAAGAGCTGTGGACTCTAATGATAAAAGACAATCAAAAGACATCATCAAAAAGATAACATCACTGTTTATAAAGCTATATCAACAAGCAATCCCAAACATAATAAAAATAAATACAAAAGTAGAAAGTCTCAACAAAGAAATTCTATTGAGAAAGAAATAAAAGATATAAAAATAACTAAATGGAATTTTTAAAACCAAGAAATAATGTTTATAAACTTAGTGAATTGACTGTAGCAGAATGAAGGAACAGAGGAAAGAATCAATGAACTAGAAGGCAGACCAATAGAAATTACCCAATTTGAACAACAGAGAGAAAATAAATTGAAAAAATGAACATGTTTCTGAAAACGTGGGACACCTCACAAGGGATGTATGTATGTATGTATGTATGTATGTATGTATGTATAGGACATCTAGAATAACTAATAAGTGATACAAACAATTACACTTCAAAACCACCAGAGATAAAAGAAAATTCAATTCTAGAAAAAAGTTCAAGTAATTCACAAGAAGGCAGGGAAAAGAGTACAGAAAAACTCAAACAGAATCAAACAAAAATACCTAAACTAATGTCAATTTAAGCCCTAACATACAATACTCCAAACCAAAAACAACCAAAATGCCCTTTAATAGTTGAACAGCTAAACAAATATGGTACATGTATATCATGGAATACTATTCACCAATAAAAGGACAAACTATGATCTCCAGGGCACTACGATGAGTGGGAAAAAACATCCAATTTCAAAATAACAAAAATTGTAGGGTTCTGTTTATGTAACATTCTTGAAGTGACAAAAATAATAAATACAGAGAATAGATTAGTAGTCAGCAGGAGTTAGGGATGATGGGTAGGAGGGGCATGGGTGTGACTCTAAAGGGATAGCAGGAAGGAGATCTTTGAAGGAATGGAATGGAACAGTTCTATATCTTACTTTTGGTGATTACAGAAATGATAAAATGAGCAATACATACAACATTGTCCCAATGTCAATTTTCTGTTTTACAACATGTAATGACTGGGAAAACCTGGTAAAAATTACACAACACAAAACAATTATAATCTCTTTGGAGAGGAATTTCAAATACAAGCAGGATGAAATTTAATACTTGTCAATAATTTTTTACCATATAATTTTTTTTTCTTTTTTGATACTGGGGATTGAACTCATAACCTCGTGCTTGCCAAGCAAGCGCTGTGCCACTGAGCTATATCCCTGGCCTTTACCACACAATTTTCAACTAGAATACCAGATATTTTTCCCCAAATGCAGATGTTCTCAAGTGTCTTCAGAGGCTCTGATAGATTGACCTATAGGGATCTCTGTGACAGCGTGGCCCTGGCCACTTCCCTGGACAATACCGTTTGACTACAAGAAGTTCATGCCCCCATTGAGGACTGTGGCTATTGTAGTGTTTTAATCTATTTGATCTCATATGAAAAAACACTTGTCACTAGATAATTTATAAATAAAACTTATTTCTCACAGTTCTAAGGGTTGAAGTTATACCTCAGTGGTATTGTACATGCTTAACATTTGCAATGACCTGGATTAAATCCCCAACACCTTTCCCCCAAAATATTTCTGCTTTGAAAACTGGGAAGAGCAAGATCAAGGCACTGGTGGTGCCTGGTAATGATCCTTTTACTGCATCCTCACATGGCAACAGAATAGCATAAAGGACCTAAACTGGTTGCCTCTAGCCATTGAAAGCAGAGCTCTCATGATTTAGTCGCTTGCCCAAAGACCTCAACTCTTAATACCACCATGACCTCACCTCTTAATACCAACCACAGCAGGGGTTAATGAACTTTAGAGAGGACTCATTCAAAACCCAAGCAGGGAGGAGTCTTCTGTTTCCATAATAAGGCGATGTAGGAGATCAACTTGGGTCTCTTTTGTTCTCTAGCACGCAGGCCTCCAGCTAAATCATAAATACCCTCCACCCTCAGTTCAACCAAGACTGGTGAGTATAAATCTGTTCATGTGCACTTTCTCTTTCATTCGTGCATGAATGATTTGAATAAATTAAGCACCGTGTTTGCTATTCTGTTTGGCACTCTGTTATTTCTTGACCCTAAATTAGAAATTGAATCCAGGAATCTCTCAAACTCATCAAGAAGACACTGAAATTACCAGAGCCTCCAAAGTCTGACATTTTGTAGTTTTATTTTTTTCTTATAATGTATTAATTTTACATACTAATAGGGCACAATGTGACATTTCAGCACATGTACACAGCATGCCCCTGTTCAAATCTAGTCTTTTAGGCTGGGGGTGTAGCCCAGAGGGGATGTAGAGTGCCTGCCTGACATACACAAACTCCCGGGTTTGTTCCTCAACACCACAAAAACAAAATCCAGCCTCCCATTATCAACCCTCTCAATCTATCATAATCACTGTTTTATATTCAGCTTGACACTTTTCTAACTTCCACATATGAAAGAGAATATGCAGCACTTATCTTTCTGTGTCTGGCTTATTTCACTTAATATAATGTCCACCAGTACTATTTACGTTGCTACAAAAACCTAATTTCACTATTCTTTACAGCTACAGATAAATTTAGCGATTATTTCTTATACCTTCAGATTGGAAACCTAAACTTCATACTACTTCAGGAGTAAAGAAAGCTACATTGAAGGCATTATTTTGTTTGCACACAAAAAAGATCCTTCGATTATCAGGACTTATTCATTTTAGAGTACAGTGAAGAATTGCCTCACAATTCTGCTTCTAGTGCTTATCTAAAATGAAAGTACACATGAATTTTCACCTTTGCCCCTTTTTTTCAATGCTGGATTGGAAACCAGGGCTTCATGTATGCTAGACAATGCTCTACCACTGAGCTACACCTTCTGCCCCTCATCTTTACTTTAAAGATGTGTTCATGGACATTTCATCCTAGAATTCATTGAAATTGACATAATAAATTACTTACTTGTAACACATATAAACCAGATATCAAGCAAAAATATATAAAGGTTGTTTCACTGGGTGTTTAATGCCACCCCAATTCTTGCACATGTGCATTGTTGACTAATACTGGACAATTAGATTGAAAGAAAATTCACCCAATTAGAACTTAGCAGAACCTTTATCTTTCCCTAATATCACAAAACCCAATATTTGTAAAACCTTGTTAATGCTAGTAGTACTGATTCTAGTACAGACTGTTCCTGACGTATTATGATTTGACTTATAGTGTAGTGCATATGGCACTTTGAAATTTAGCTATATGTAGTCTGATGTTCTCTTGTGATATTGGGTAGAAGCAGTGATCTGTAGCTGACACTTGGTCATACAATCACCAGGAGAAACCACTGAGACTCAACAATGTACTGTGTTGCTAAACTAGGATATGCAGTAGGTTAGGTGTATTCTGCATATTTTGATTTACAATATTTTCAACTTACAATGGGTTTATTGTATGTAATTCCAACATAATCCAAGGAACATTTGTATAGGAAGTAGTAGTCTTAATAGCTGTTTCACATTTAAAGTGATTTACATTAACAGAAAAATTAAAAATTTACAAAGATTGTAGACGCATTCAAATAATATTATACCCATTGCATAAAGTCCATAAGCACAACAAATATGACAAAAGTACAAAACTAAGGAAAGGTAAGCTTTTATTATATTTTACTCCTTTCTATATCCTGCCAAACATTGTGCAGTTAGGAGTAGTGGGCTTCCTTGAGTCTCAAACTACACTGATCCCATGTCCTCTGTCCAGAAGACTTTGGCTCCTGGCTCACTGTCTTCCAATCTCTTCCTCCTTTGGTCACCAATTCTGATGATTTCACACTCGTGTGGATGTTCTAAATTGGAGAGAGCATTTCATATCAGTGAATAAGAATATTCTGTGAACACAAAACATGGATTTGTCTTCTTTTTCAAGTGAAAAAGAAAAGGGTTTAAAGTGTACATGATTCACTGATAAAGGGGTATCTGATTCCCTGTAATAGTGGCTTAGGAAAAAATTACCAGGCAATAACCTATTGAATACAATTGTTTTACAAGAGGTCACATATACAACATGGCAAAAAAGGGACAGAAAAATGGCATACATCAACCTGGGTTATCAAAAAAGACTCCACAGATAACTGGCATTTGATGTCAGATCAGAAAATGAGTATAAAAGTTTGTGAGGCAGATAAGCAAGAGTTTGGGGAAACTTGTTCCAGATAGAGGGGGAAACAAGTGCAAATTCCTGGGGCCATGAGAGACATTGATGAGTATGTTCTAGGAAATAATATTTCCTAGAAATATAGAATAATATTTCCAAGAGATGTAGATGCAGTAGAATAATATTTTCAAGAGATGAAATTTGACCAAGAGTTCTTAAACTATGAGGACCAAAGTGAATGCCCTGGTCTGAGAGTTGGTTTGGAGAGCTGGAGTGAGAGAGCTCTTGTCTGGTGAGGGCCATATTTTCCTGAGGAAGATCCCTGGCCAATGTAGACAAAGCCTTACCTAAAACTATAACTTTCCCCAGCCCTGTGACCTGTTTTTTTGCCTGCATTGTTTGCCTCACAACTATCCACCACTTCCCATGAAGAAATCTTGGATTCATCTTACATTTCAGTTCTATCTAAAATTTCATCCTTTGTGTAAATGACCACAACCACTGCTTAGAGGCTTGCAATTATTAGCCCTCATCAAAATGAACTGGGCAGCCTCTATATTCCTCATGCCTACAGTCCAAAGAATTTAACAAGAGGGCATGTCACTTCTAGATTTCCCTATTGCCTCCCAGTCCCTGCAATATAATAGTTAAGGTCCTCATCCTGATATGCAAGGCCCCTGTGAACTGCATTCAGTTTATGACTTAAGATAGCTTCTGGCCAAATTTTGTCTCTGCCTTTAAATCAAGAGCAAGTCTAAACTATTCAAGGACCCCATTACTTCATCTCAGGTCAAGAAGCAAACCCTACCCAAAAAGGGCATTCCATATTTCTCCACCAAATACCAGGTCAGAAAGTTTCATATCAGTAACTACCTCTTACTTAGAAGAATACAAATTGGAAAATGTGTCACACTTATCCTTGTAACATTAAGTATTTCGACTGGTTTTATTCCTACAATCTTTCATAATAGCACCACAGAGAAAGTATAGGGAAAGGGAGCCATAAAAGATGATTTTTGTATGAACCCCTGGGGGACACTGTAGTGTACATAGGTAGTGTTTCTGAACAAATGAAATGGGGGGATTGGTTTCATGAAGGTGCACCATAGATAAACTTAGGCAACATATTTAACCTGGTTCTCAAGACTTAGAGTTGAGACTAGTCATCAGATGCCAGTCACATTGTCATGTGAGACTTTAATTTTTAAGGAAAATTACATTTACTCAATTATAAATTTATCCCGGACGACAATAGGTAGGATGAGAATGATGATACAGTAGAAACAACAGTGGCAGCAAATCAAATCCCCAATCCACAAAATATCAGGTAGGACCCCCCACAGTATTGGAAAGGCCTCTAATATCTTCACATTGTCAGTATAGGTTTGAGGAGTCCTAAATATGCTAGTACAATCTATTGCTAAGAAAAACTTACCATCTTAGGGGAATTTGAGGCAGAAGAGTGCAGCTACTTTCTCTTGGATGAAGATGATGTTATTCCTAGTGAGAGGCAGGAAATATTAAAAATTGAGAGATAGGAATTACATTATCCACATTTGTGACAGAGCTGACCCTTTCCATGGTGTAGGAAAAGAGAGCATGAACACATTTAATAAAGTATGTGACAATACTGACCTATTTTTATGTGTACAAATGAAAGTGTCAGGCCAATTCATTTCAGTTCTAGAAGTCAAAAGGCTCTAGCAAATGGAGGGAAAATTATGGGGAGCTGAAAAGATAGTCTCAGTCATTTATTAGGGACTCCACCTTAAGAAGTAAAGGGAAAGAAGCTGTCTAGAACTGGAGGGGTATTTGGGGAGTGCCAAGGCATAGCACAAATCTCTGTCATTATGGTTTGGCTACTGCCATTAAGCTCCACTAAAAGCACATGTCTACACCTGAAACTATTAAGGCAAATCAAGCAAGGAAAATGACTTTCAAGGAAGATAATCTTGGATACTAGAAGAAAAGGGGACAGGGAAACATAGGGCTACCCAAACAAAGTCTGGCATTTTTAGCCATACACCCCCCGAAGTGGGGTAGACGTTTGTCATTGAAAACCTTAAAATGCAGTTAAATCCAAGAAATTTTTCAAAACATTTTTCAAGGACTTGAGGATGTTCTAAAGTTTTTCAAGTGGCTAATGTAAGTGATATAAAATGTGAAGCAATCTAACATTGGAGAGAAAAGAAAATTACTAAGGATCTTGGGTTGGGCAGTTGTTATGGAGTATACAGAAGAAACAAATAGGGAGCATTTGAGGCAAATATTAATCAGAAGGCAATGACAAATTAAGAGATATCCTCATGAGAATCACTGGGAAACCTTTTTTGCTAGTCTTCACAAGTCACTCTTTTTAATTAGTATGGAACCCCTGGGCTTCTCAACGCCAGAAATGGCAATATTCACTCAAAAAACTACACTTGATAATTCGACCCTTAGCCTATGGAAATATTAGATGATTTTTCAGTTACTACAACCAAAATACTTAGAAAATTAAAACAAAATGATTGATACCAGTTACTTTCTATAAGCCATCTAGAAAACAAATTTTGGTGGTCGTTATGGTTATTTAGGGTGTCAGTTTGACTGGACTAAGGAATATTTGGAAGGCTGCTAAAATGTTATTTCTGGGTGTGTCTGTAAAGATCTGTCCAGATGAGTCTGAGAGAACTAGATGGGGAAGATCAACCATCAGTGTGGGTGGGCACCATTCCATCAGTTGGGCCAATTTGGGACCAGAGAGAACAAAAGCAGAGAAAGGGCAAATGTATCAATCTACTCCTGGGACCAGGAATATACTTTTTTCCTCCACCTTTTGTGTATTAGAACTCCACGCTCCCAGCCTTAGGACTCCAGAATTTGCACAGAAGCCACTTTTCTGGGTCTTCAGGCTTTCATCTTTGGACTGCGTGTTATTCATTTAGTCTCCCTGGTTCTGAAGCCTTCAGTGTTGACTCAACAATGCCCAGGTTCATAGCTGAGGATGGTCTGCTATGGAATTTCTCAGTCTCCATGATTATATGAGTCAATATTTCTAATAAACCTCATCTCACATATCTTTATCTAGATGTCCTATTGGCTTTAAATCTCTAGAGAACCCTGAAAGAGTGGTGATTTAAAGGTTTGTGGATGGTGAACTCCTACAACAAGCCAATAATATTTATCTTTTCAGAAAGGAATAAGCAGAGACTGGGAAAGACTAGGAGGGTGTTAAACTTCTTAAAAGTCAAGCATATACTTACCATATGACCCAATAATCCCAATTCTAGGTATTTATCTAGTAGAATTAAAATGCACATTTACTCCAAAATCTGTATACAAATATTTATAGAATCCCAAAACAATTCAAACACCTACTCTGATTGAATGGATTAACTAATTTGGTAGGTCCACACAATGAAATACTATTATGCAATGAAACAGGATGAACTATTAATATACACAATGACACAGATAATCTCAAATGCATTATACTGAGGAAAAGATGTTGAAATCAGAAAGCTATGTATTGAATGATTGCATTTATAATCTAGATAAGGCAAAACTATGAAAATAGATCAGTGGTTACCAGCAGCCTGAAGGGAAAAAGTTGGGTAGAAAGAGCACAGGGAACCTTTTAGATTATGAAAGTATTCTATATTGTGGTGGTTGTTGCACTACTGCACGTTTGTCAAAATTCATAAAAATGTGCTTCTAAAAAGGGTGAGATCTATTGAATGTAAATTGTATCTTAATAAGCCTGACTTTAAAAAGAAAAAATATATAAATATGTTTTCAAAAGATAGCTAAAGGGGGCTGGGGATTTAGCTCAGCGGCATAAGTACCTGCTTGCAAGCAGGCGGTTGTGAGTTCGATCCCCGGTACCGATAAAAATGAAAAAGACAAAAAAAGAAAAAAGATAGCTAAAATAATTATACTACTGATTTCTCTAAATTCATTGAAGAGAGCAGTTTGTGCTAATACTGTTTGATCAATTATGCATGCCTATGTCTTATAATTTGAGCAACTATTTTGAAGATTACAATACACAATATATTAGCCATTGTCAATTTCCTATTATTCTATTTTTGAAATTCTGTGTCTTTATCTCTTTAAAATAAAAATAAATAAATAATATTTTGCTTAAAAAATATTTTTTAAAAAACTGGCTATCCAAAGGAGGAAAGAAGGAAGGGAAAAGAAAAAAAAGACATAAATTTGTGTGTGTGTATGATATATATATATATATATATATATATATATATATATATATGCATACATACATATATATGATAGCTAACATGACTATACTAACATATATTAGTTCTTGGAAAAGAACAGTTAATACTTATATGATTAGATCAATTTTGCATGTCTATATCTGCTAATCTAAGCAACCCTTTTGAAGATAACAATATGCAATATATGAATTGTTAAATTCATATCTCTTGTTTTGAAAGCCTATATTATTATTGTTCTGAGTTTGTTGATTGATTGCATTTATAATCTAGATAAGGCAAAACTATGAAAATAGATCAGTGGTTACCAGCAGCCTGAAGGGAAAAAGTTGGGTAGAAATAATTATACTACTGATTTCTCTAAATTGCTGTTGTTGTTTGTTTGTCTCTTTTGCTTTTTATTTTTCTTTTCTGTGTCTTTTTTTCTCTTTTAAATAAAAAATACCTGGTTCTCCAAATAAGGATATTTTAGAAAAAAAGACATCAATTTGGTTGGCTCCTGTTGGGACCCAGTATCAGATCGAGGGTAGTGCTCCAACAACTCAGGTATCTATTGTTTCTAGAAAGAGACCAATGTTTCTGCCGTTCAGGGAAAACTGTGTCCTAAGGTGTCATGATAAGCAATACATTTTATCTACATATTATTGAACTTTATATATGGGACTCTGCATCCAGGGGGAAATGGAAGAAATTGTTTTGTCTCTAAGTCAAGACTGTCCAGACGTATCCAGTCATCCCACCCTCTCACGCTTCAAGCTGGGAAAGTAAGAGTAGAGGATCCTCAGCTTGGAATTATTCTCCAAGACCACAATAGAACTGTGAGAAAGTTATAGACAGGAACAAATACCTGGACTTTCCCACTGAATTCTGAGTATAGAGTTAATTTATTGAAAATTACTAGGGACTAGGGATTTAGCTCAATGGCATAAGCGCTTTGCAAGCAGGCAGTCGTGAGTTCGATCCCTGGTACCAATAATTAAAAAAAAAAAAAAAAAGAAAGAAAATTACTTATCTGTAGGCATTGTTTATGAGACAGGAAAATTTTTCAAAAGTACTTCAAATTCTACAATGAACACTTAAAAAGATTGAGAACCAATGTTCTGATGGAAGTTCTGGAGTTCAAACTTGACATGGCCACTTTAAGTTTAATTGAGCTTAAAGTGGGCATGCCTTAGAAACCTCAAAGTTTTTTTTTATTTCTTCACCTAACAGAGTAATCAATTTTCATAATAGGGTATAGAGAAATGCAAAGTTGCCACCAAGCAATTAATTTTGATGGAGGAGTTGGTTGGATGGTAAAATCCAACTGAAGAATTCATATATTCAAAATCCAACTGAAGAATTCATATATTCATACTTAAATTCAAATGTGAGAATTATGATTCTTCATATTCCAACATACTCCTTATAATCCTACTGGTGCTGATGATATAGAAGAAATGAGAACAGTAGCCCCAAAATCATTAGCTTGGATACAGAGCTATTCCCAAGGTTTATCCACAAAATTTCCTGTGTAATTGACTCAGAAAACAAAAGGAAATTGATAACGTACTATGCCCTATTATTTCACTTTCAATCTGAGGTTTCACCTTGTCCATAAAGTCCTTGGCACTAGCTGTAGCCTGAACTCATTATTGAATGGAGAAATTCTTCAAGAAGCCTGCATAGCTATATAAATATCAATCATTGTCTATATCTAATTTACTTATCACTATCTTATAAATAATCTTAGGGGAAAACTATTAACTGCAGCATAAATCAAATTATACTTGATGCCTTTGCACAAGAAATACATTGAGAAGTTTACAAGTTTAACTCAGCAAGGGGCCAGGGTCCTTACTTGTAAACATCCTCATCCTGTTCAGAAGTAGGGCAGGGAGATGACGTGAGTGCTACACAGCCCTGGGAGGGGGGGGTATCCTGCTTACAATATAAGGGAGGAAAAGAGGCTTGTTCTCCGCCTCTTTTAGCTTTTATTGCTTTTCCTGTCTTCCACTGCCATGAACTGTTTTCCCTCTGCCATGCCACCTTGCTTTGTAGCCAGCTGATTATGGGCTGAAGTCTCTGCAAACTATGAGCTAAATAAACATTTGCTTCCTTAATTTTGGGTGTTGGGTATTTTTTCTCAGCAATGAGAGAAAAGTGACTAACACAAGAAATTCTTGAAAAAGCCTCCATCTTTTCCATGAGAAATAGCTATATAAATATCAATTGTTGTTTGTGTCTAACTTATCATTATTCTCTAAATAATCTTAGAGAAGACATACTAACTAAGTGTAG